CGCCCTGGCCACGGCCCGTCCAGGCAGGAGCCAGCCAGAGAACGGAAAGGAAAGCGAGGTCACACGGATGGTGCACCAGTGTTTGTCACAATTTTGTCATGGTCAAACAGGAAGAGGAAACATGTTAAGTCTGTACCATTCAGTTCTGACCACAAAAACTGGGGTCTCGCGTGGGCTTAGGTAAGAACTCCCTCCGTCCTGAGCTACATTTCCACTGCTGCCAACGGAGTGTTATTGGCCAACTAAGAGAACCAAGCCCTCAGAACACCGCAGGATGTGGATGGTGAATACAATATTTTGGCTGGGCACTGGTGGCTCACGCCTGTGGCCCCAGCTACTCAGGAGGCTGAGATCTGAGGGTCATCTTTTGAAGCCAGCCTGAGGCAGGAAAATCTGTGAGACTCTATCTTCAGTTAAGCACCAAGAAAAGCTGGAATGAAGTTGTGATTCAAGTGGTAGAGCAATAGCTTGGTGCAAAAAAAGGCTCAGGGACAGTGCACTGGCCCAGAGTTTGAGCCTGAGGACAGACAAAAAACAAAAACAACAAAATTCATAGGACATATCCAGAATAAGCAGAATAAGTGGCTTCCAGTTTTCTAGGGGAAGAGAAAATATACAGGGGCTGCTAGTGGATATGGGGTTTCATTTGATAAAAATGTCCCCCCCTTTTTTTGCCATATGTGGGGCCTGAACTTCTGGGCCTGGGCCTGGACGCTGTCCCTCAGCTCTTCAGCTTAAGGCCAACATTCTACCACTTGAGCCACAGCACCACTTCCAGCTTTTTCTGCTTATGTGGTGCTGAGGAATCGAACCCAGAGCCTCATGCATGCAAGGCAAGCACCCTACCACTGAGCCACCTTTCCAGCCCCAAAATGTCCCAATTTTGATGAAAATGTTCTAAAATTGGTTGTAGCAATGGATGCACATGTCAGAATTGCAAAACCCATGGCATTATGCCCCTATACTGGACAGATTATATGGTATGTGAATTACATCTCAATAAACTCACTTTTGTTGTTGTTGTCAGTCATGGGGCTTGAACTTGGGGCCTGGGCACTGTTCATGAGCCCTATTTTGCTCAAGACTAGTGCTCCACCTCTTTGAGTCACAGACTCTACTTCTGGTTTTCTGGTGGTTAACTGGAGATAGTCTCACAGACTTTTCTGTTTGGGCTGGCTTTGAACCGTGATCCTAGATCTCACTAGGATTTTAGGCATGAGCCACCAGCACCTGGCATCACTTATTTTTTAAAAATCTGGAGCCAACTGTCAGGATTGGGTACTGGTGAAAGGACTAAAGAGGGTGAATCTCGTTGAAGTAGATCTTTTGCAAGGACAAATACGCATCAATGAAACCTGTTGAAATTGTTTTGGGAAGGGAAAGGGCAAGAGGGGGTGAAATTGGCCGGAATATATTGAAAATGTGTGGAAATGTAACAATTACTCCCTTCATAAGTAATATAAGGCAATATAAAAAATATACCTGGCCCTAGCTGGGCGCCAGTGGCTCACGCTTGTAATCCTAGCTACTCTTGAGGCTGAGATCTGAGGATCACAGTTCAAAGCCAGCCTGGGCAAGAAAAATCGTGAGACTCTTATCTCCAGTAAACCACTAGAAAACCGGAAGTGGCACTGTGGCTCAAGTGGTAGAGCGCTCGCCTTGAGCTGAAGAGCTGAGGGACAGCGTCCAGGCCCAGAGTTCAAGCCCCACAACCAACAAAAAAACAAACAAACCTGGCCCTTCCCTGATATGTGAATGTTAAATCCAAAATGCAAGGAGATATGAAAAAGTAAACAGGACCCAAGAAACAAAGGACCTCCATTCATTTTGTCATATCATTATTAAATGTCTTTATGTTCTAGAGCACATATATGGTGTGTGTGTGTGTGCACACCTGAGGGGAGCTAGGAGGAGGGCACAGAATCAGAGGAAAATGGGAAAAGATCCAACAGAGAATATATAACAACAATGTTCAGCTGCACTGAACATTGATGAAAATGAACTGAGCCACTCAAGGGCGGCGATGGGAGGGAGGGAATGAGAGGGAAAGAGCGAACAGCTGACACTACACAAAGGGAGACACGTACATATTATGTGATGTGGAAGAAATAGTTGTATTGTCACAGACATTGTAGACCATGATGATGACAATTTGCCTTGTGAAGGTTAAAATGTGTTTGTGACTTTAAGTATCACTATCTCACAATACTATGAAATTTATGTAATCACTTAATCTCAATAAAAATTATTAAAAAAAATCTGGCCTGGCACAGGTGGCTCATACCTGTGAGCCTAGCTACTCAGGAGGCTGAGATTTGAGGATCGTGGGTCAAAGCCAGCCTTGGTAGGAAAGACGAGACTCTTATCTCCAATTAACCACCAAAAAATTGGAAGCGGAGCTGTGGCTGAAGTGGTAGAGTGCCAGCCTTGAGGAAAAGAAGCTCAGAGACAGCGCCCAGGCAGAGTTCAAGTCCCAGGACTGGCACACAAAGATCTGAAGCCCAGCAGAAACGCTTGGCTGGTCCCAGGCTCCTGGCACCCTGGTGTGTGTGCTGTGTGTGGATATTCGTCGCCTTGGCACAGCCCCCCAGGCCTCCCCCCAGGCCCGCTCAGGGTGTGGACTGGGCCATCCTGACCTGAGGCCGGGTGCATGGCTTTGCAAGGGCCCTCCTCTGCAGTCATGGTGCGGGAGATGTCAAGACATGTTGCTGGGCAGCATTATCCTCTCTCCTGGGCCCCAGAAATCAAGGAGCTGCCTGTGAGGGGGTGCACACAACGTGCTGGAGACAAGAGTGGCCTGCAGGGCCAAGGCCGGGCGAGCTGGACACACTGGTCCTGGGAGAGTACTGGCGCAGGGGCGCCGGGTGCCCTGTCCTGATACCGGCAGCCCTGCCTGGAGTGCGGCTGAGCTGCCCTCCCGTGGCTTCCGACAGCGTGCAGGAGTCCTGGATTACGTTTCTAAGAGGTGGGCTGCCCATGGGGGGGGGTGGGGAGGAGCGGTTGGTGTGGCAGGTGTGCCACACACAGGCCCCATGTGGGGCTGGCCAGGCAGGTCAGATCGGGGGATCTGCCGGGGTGACCACCATGGCCACCTGGGCCTTGAACTTGGCCTGGATGCGAGCCTCTCTGTGTGCAAGGCTGGCACTCTACCACTTGAGCTACAGTGCCACTTCTGGCTTTTTTTTTGTCAGTCATGTGGCCTGAGCTCTAGGCCTGGGCACTGTCCCTCAGCTCTTCAGCTCAAGGCTAGTGCGCTACCATTTGAGCCATGGCACCACTTCTGGCCTTTTCTGCTTATGTGGTGCTGAGGAATGGAACCCAGAGCCTCATGCATGTGAGGCAAGCACTCTACCACTAAGCCACCTTCCCAGCCCAAACAAGGTGAGGGATTTTATTGTTTTGCCAGCCATGGGACTTGAACTCTGGGCCTGGGCACTGTCCATGAGCTCTTCAGCTCAAGGCTGGTGCTCTACCACTTGAGCCACAGAGCCACTTCTCAACTTCTGGCTTTTTCTGAGTAGTTTATTAGAGATAAGAGTCTCAGACTTTTCCTTCCTGGGCTAGCTGTGAACCTTGATCCTCAGATCTCAGCCTCCAGAGTAGCTGGGATTACAGGTGTGAGCCACCAGCGCCTGGCTAGATGGAGTATTCCAGACACAACTCTTGGTTCTTATTTTTAGTTCTTTGGTAGGAACCAAAACCACAAATGGCTGGGTGCTCTTGATTCCACACTGAAGGCAGTCAGCCTGAGGGCAGGGGAGGGAGGAGGGAGAGTAGAAGGAGGGGAGGACAGGGTGAGGGAGGGCAGAAGGGCAGGAGGGGAGGGTGGAGTGAGAGAGGGCAGGAGGAAGGGGGGGCAGGAGGAGAGGGTGGGGTGAGGGAGGGCAGGAGGAGGGGAGGGCAGGAGGGGGCAGGTTGAGGGAGAGGAGGAAGGGAGGGCGGGAGGAAGGTGGTCTGTACTGTTGTCAGGCTGGAGGGGGCATGGGCTGTCTGAGGCCAGGCTGATGGGCCTCGTGGGAGCGGGTGCAGCACAACAGGAAGGGTGGGGCAGGCTGAGGAAGCCTTGCGCAGTGGGGCTGGGAGCTGGCTCAGCGCCCGGCCTGGAGGCAGCCGCAGTGAGGCGCCGGCCGGACCAGGGCCGGGTGGGCGTCTCAGGAACGCAGGTCAGGGCTGGACAATGCAGTCTGGGGCCTGGTCACCCTGGCCTGGCTCAAGGACACTGGCAAGGAAGGGTGTGGTCCTGTGTGGGCGTGGCCCTCCACCAAGGCGGGGCCCCTTGGCCTCTGCCACCCTGTCTGCCCTGGGGCTGCAGCGTGGCTCCACCCCTCCCCCTTCACTCGTGCAGTCTCTGCCCTCTCTGCCCCTAGGATGCTCGGTCCTTCTCTAGAGACAGCCCTGGTGCCCTGTGAGCATGGGCGTGGGGCTCCAGGGTGGTGGTCTCAGGCCGTGCAGGAGGCCGGGGGGGTGGTGGTCTCCGAGGCCGGGGGGGTGGTGGTCTCCGAGGCCGGGGGGGGTGGTGGTCTCAGAGGCTGGTGGTCTCAGGCTGTGCAGGAGGCCGGGAGGCTGGTGGTCTCAGAGGTTGGGAGGCTGGTGGTCTTAGAGGCTGGGAGGCTGGTGGTCTCAGAGGCCGTGCAGGAGGCCGGGAGGGTGGTCTCAGAGGCTGTGCAGGGGGCCGGGAGGGGTCCAGAACTGTCTGGACAGTTCTATCCCACTCACTTCTGTTGTTTTCCATCCAGGATGGAGAAAAAGTGGGGGGAGGGCATCTGGGGCACACAGGCTGGCAGCCTGTGGCCAGGGTGTAGAACCAGCCTGCATTCTAATTGAACTGGCCCAAATGCCTGCTACCCTGTCAGATCCCTCCTCTCCAAAGCAGGCAGGACACCCGACAGCTGTGACAATTAAATGTAATGGCTGGGCGTGTGGTTTAGTGGTAAAGTGCTTGCCTAGTATGAGCAAAATTCTGGATTCCATGCCCAGTGGTGTAAAAATAAAACAAACAGAAGCATGTTAACACATTGCGAAGGACTAAAAGATGACCCTTTTTTGGTATTCACAAACAATAAGGTCCTTGATGTTTTTGTGCAGAAGTTCTTACATATGCTTTATTTCTTTTCTCAGGGGAAATTCCTAAACATGAAATGCTCAAAAGATATTCGCTGGGCTGGAAGGGTGGCTCTAGTTGCCTCATGCTGCCTGGTAGCACAAGGCCCTGAGTTCCAATTCCAAAAACAAATGGTACATATTCACAATCTGGAAGTTCTAGTGAGATTCTTCCCTGCCTTGTTTCTGAAGGTGGACTGCCAGTTTTTTTTTTTTTTTTTGTCGGTCGTGGGGCTTGAACTCTGGGCCTGGGCGCTGTCCCTCAGCTCTTCAGCTCAAGGGGAGCGCTCTACCACTTGAGCTACAGCGCCACTTCCGGTTTTCTGGTGGTTTATTGGAGATAGGAGTCTCACGGTCTTTCCTGTCCGGACTGGCTTTGAACCGCGATCCTCAGATCTCAGCCTCCTGAGTAGCTAGGATTACAGGCGTGAGCCACCAGCGCCCGGCTGGACTGCCAGTTTGACAGATGTCAGAGTTGTTTTACTGGGGCTTAAACTGAGTTTTGCAATCACTTGATTCCTGGTTCAAGATGGCCCCTTACTTCTGGCTTTTTTCTTTGAATCGAACCCAGGGCCTCAGGCATGCAAGGCAAGCGCTCTACCACTGAGCCACCTTCCCAGCCCAGGATGGCCCCTTACTACTTGACCATTTCTCTAGCCCAGCTTTTAAAAATTTTATTTTAGTTTTTTTTTATTGTGAAAATACTGTACAGAGGGGTTACAGTTACACGAGTAAGGTAACAAGTACATTTCCTATCGAGCATTGTTACCTCCTTCTTTGTTTTTCCCCTACCATCCCTTCCTTCCCCACCTCATTTCCTCCCCCCACCCCCCGCCCCTAAGTTGTAAGGTTTGTTTTCAATATAGTGTCTTGTACATCTAGTCCAGCTTTTTGCTGGTTATTTTGGAAACAGTATCAGACTTTTCTACATGGGTTAATTTGGAACCATGATCCTTTAAATCTCAGCCTCCTGTGTAGCTACGATTACAGGCAACAGCTGCCAGTGCCCAGCTCAGGTGTCCAGAGTTTCAAGTGTAACTGCCAAGATCAGCACCTGCGAGTTAACTACAAAGGGACATTCACAAATGAACTATACAACTTATGGGTGGGATTGAGAAGGAGCCAGGCTGTTCAAAAAGAAATGTACTCATAACCTGACTTACACAGCTGTAAAGAAATGTACTCATGACCTGACTTACACAGCTGTAAAGAAATGTACTCGCGACCTGACTTACACAGCTGTAAAGAAATGTACTCATGGCCTGACTTACACAGCTGTAAAGTCTCTGTATATCAGTTAGAATAATTTAAGAAAATACAAGAAAAGTAAAAATAAAAATGCTGAGTCCTCAAAAACAGGCATGACATTTAGCCCAGCTTGGGTGGGCTGTCCACTGTGCAGATGGAGACACCTCGATCCCACCCGTTTGGGCGGTCCCTGGTGGAACTTCAGGGCCAGCACCTGCTGTGATATTTTTATGTTGTTGTCCAAAACCAGGAAGATTAAGGTACTTTTTGTTTTGTTGGTCGTAGGGCCTCAGCTCTTCAGCTCAATGCTAGCGCTCTACCACTTGAGCCACAGCACCACTGCTGGCCTTTTCTGCTTATGTGGTGCTGAGGAGTCGAACCCAAGGCCTCATGCATGTAAGGCAAGCGCTCTACCACTGAGCCACCTTCCCGGCCCCCAAATTAGGTTATTTGTTCACACCTGTAGTTGTGGGGGTAGGGAAGGAAGGGATTGTAGGGGAAAAACAAAGGAGAAGGTAACAATGCTTGATAGGAAATGTACTCGTTACCTTGCTCATGTAACTCTAACCCCTCTGTACAGTATTTTTACAATAAAAAGTGTATTAAAAATCACATTCACTCCCATCAGTGTTACACAACCATGGCCAAACCCACAAACCTTGCCCTTTCAGCAAGTGTCTGGGGCCCTCCTGCCACCTCAGTCATGGAGGTCAGAAATGAAGGCTTGCTTCATCGAGTGAGCTTTAGTGCTAGATCTATGGATCAGTCACAAATCAAGCCCAAACTGAATGGTGTAAAACCTTTACTGTGTTCCTGGGGATGTAGCTGCAGAGCCTTCCAGGCCCTGGGATGATCCCGAGAGGGCCCCACCGCTGCCACACACGCACACAGGGGCTGTGTAGTACAGCATGGGGTGCTGAGCCATCTTGTTTATCCGTGCCTCCGTGCGTGAACATGTGGGTTGCCCCCATTCGCTGCTGTTTACGAGTGTGAACGGGCTTTCCCTTTGTTGGGGCGTACACCTGCTCGCCGACTGCAGGGTGGTACCGTCATTGCCGAACTGCCTGGGAATCCTCCGGGGCGGAGCCTGCCCCGCCGGCGCTCGACGCTTACGCCACGCCTCCATCCCGCTTTCGTTAGTTCTTTTTGTTGGTGGGGCTTGAACTCGGGGCCTGGGCGCTGTCCCCGCGCTCTTCACAGCGCCACTTTCGGTTTTCTAGTGGTTAACTGGAGATAAGTCCCACGGCTTTCCTGCCGGGCTGGCTCTGAACCGCGATCCTCAGGTCTCAGCCTCCTGAGGAGCCGGGAAGACCGGCGTGAGCCGCGGCGCCCGGCACTGACGTTAGTGTTGACTCCAGTCTCCAGCGCAAGCCCGTCTTCCTCGACTTCACAGGTCCCTGGACGTCTCCGACGGTCTCTTCGGAGGCAGGCGCGTCCACGGGGTTTTCCGGGTCCGGGACGCCGCAGGCGAACCCGGTCTCCGCAGCGGGGACTCCGCAGCGGGGCCGCCGGCGCGCGTCGCACGGCG